TAAACACATGGCTTTTTAGTCATGTAATTGTTTTAGAAACCACTCATTATTTTATCTCAAGATTACCTATTAATTTCTTAATCAAGTTGTATTTCTTACATATTAAATATTAAATAATAAAAATATTTAGTATTGTATAATTGTAATATGATATTTGTATATTATATTTAAAAAGCTAATATCAAATAAAAAATTTATTTAAAATTAGAACAATCATTTTTTTTAAAAAAAAAAAATTTAAAAGTTCTAACCTAAATGGATAAAAGTACAAACAACTATTGTCTGTCACCTAAACCTTACACATAGAATTAATAATCACAAAAAATTAACAAATGTTTACAACTCAACTCATTTATATTGATAAATACAAGTTTTAAGAGTTTTATATTTATTTTAATAAATTATAACACTTTTAATATTATTTATGAAATTTTATATATGTCTTATTATATATTAATTTCATACATTTTTGTAAGGAAAAACAATGCTTTATTATCATAATACAAATTGGATAGATGGATACTGGTAATATATTCATATAATTTCTTGGTAAAGATTAATATTTTTATAGATTAATTTAAAAAATAATATTTCTACTTCGTGGCCGTTATGAGAACAAACAATACCGATTTCAAGTTTTGTTCATAAAAGATTCTAAAAAGTATATTGTTTTCAATGATTTTCTTATATTGAATTAAGAAAAATCATGTTTTNTTAATATTTTCTAACTTATATGTGTCCTTTCATATGTTCTTCACCTAATGGTCAGGTGAAAATCATTAACTTTATTGGCCTTGTGACCAAAATTGGAAAAAAGAATCAAACAAACACATAAATAACGTTTTTTGTGGGATAAAAATTCAATTCAATAAATATAAGGTGCAATTTCTAAATATAAGATTTTATTTTTCTTAAATAACGAAGTGGCTAAATGAACTGATCCACTTTTCTAGTTTGTTAGAATATGTATATATATATTCGCTATACCAATGAATATTATTCGTTGCGATTTTAAGTGGAATGTCTGACCGTTGTATTTATTATTGCAATATAGCATTTTTTTTGTGTATTCTTTCTTAAACATTAAAACTTTCATGTAGTAGTTTTTGTTATTAATTAAGTGTATTCTTTCTTAAACATTAAAACTTTCATGTAGTAGTTTTTGTTATTAATTAAAGTAATTACGATTTTATATTAAAACTATATTAAAAATAAGGATGTTTTCCAAAACATCAATTATATATCTTTTCAAAATTTTTGTTGTCTGGGTGATTTTTTGGAAATATGAAAAAACAGTTTGACAAATATGTGAAAGAAGCAAATTCGTGGGATAGTTTTTGTTATTAATTAAAGTAATTACAATTTTACATTAAAATAATATTAAAAATAAGAATGTTTTCCAAAACATCAATTATATATCTTTTCAAATTTTTGTTGTCTGGGTTGATATTTTGGAGATATGAAAAAAAACAGTTTGACAAATATGTGAAAGAAGCAAATTCGTGAGAAATAATGGTATGAGAATATTGAGGCTGATTTTTAGGAGACTAATTTGCCATTAAAAATAAGTTAAAGTAAGTGTTTTTTAGGTAGTTCATTTGTTAATTGAAAATATATGATTACGATTTTACAATAAAATTATATTAAAATAAGGACGTTTTTGAAAACATCAACTATATATTCTCTCATAGCCTTGTTGGGTTAATTTTTGGGAGATATGAAAGAAAACAGTTTGACAAATATGTGAAAGAATCAAATTGGTGATGAATAATGGTATGAGAATGTTGAGGTTGATTTTTAGGAGAGCTAGAATATTTTGTTCATGTATCTATATTTAATTAATTAAATATTAGTTATTAATTAAAAGTATAAGATGATTATTGGTGTAGTATTAATTTGTCATTCAAAGTAAGGATTTTTTAGGTAATTCATTTGTTAATTAAAAACATAAAATAAGATGGGTATTATTATATTACTAATTTGCCATTAAAAATATGTCAAAGTAAGGATATTTTAGGCAAATCATTATTTTTACAAAATCACTCGTCCTTTTATAATAGTATAGATTGATGGTAGCTGGCTTAAATTTTTGGGGTGACATTTTTGTACCTACTGTAATAATATTAGTGCCGATTAAAGTCGAATGCCCAACCTGTATATAGTGAAGATCCTAAATGGGCTGCAAAATCACAAGTCTACACGTCCAAACATCAAACGAAAACAAACAACCGAAAAAAAGGAAAAAGAAAGCAACAACCATCCCAAAAAAAGCCCAGACTGCATGCATCGCCCCCATGAGACGCCGCACACGAAATGCCATACGCACACGTCAGTGAGCGACCATCGACATCACCATGCCGTCGACTAGCAACCTGAGAAGGAGGACGAAGGCGAGAAGAACATCTCAAAACTGTTCGTCCGGCCACGTAGGTGTGTAGTCGTCTCAGAGTCTGCAAAAATTTTAAGCCGTAAGTGTTCTATCCATGCTTTAGATCCACTGCGTTTAGGTTTATTTTTGTACCTTGAATTTGCGACGTGCACATTACGACGCTCCTCATAGAATCCCAATAAGTGGTATCAAAGGACTTGATTTAATTTGTTTATTGTGCATATTTCGAATTTTTTAAGGCTTGCATGATTAAAGTGTGTTCGAGCGTAACCATAAAGTGGATTATATGCATAACTTGGTTTTTGCAGGCGTTAAATTAATCCATTGTTATGGCCTTGCTTGTTTAAATTTATTTAACATTCTTAAAGCTTTGATATGTCGAGGAATTTTGTGATTTGAATGCTCATAATAGATTTAATTGCACGATGGGACACCGTAAAGAATATAGCTTTAGTAGACGAGCATGTAAACCTATCCGTGGGTATAAGATCATTCTTGTAAAATTAGTATAATTCAGATCTTGTTGGTTGCGGACGATATCGGGTGATTAAGACCACGGACCTCGATGACCCGACCACACGCAGCTCGGCGACAATCACCTCGTGGCAGTTGGCAGTATGCTTTCGACAGGAACCGCGAGTGCTGCATTATCATTAGTGTTAAAGGAGAAGGAAGGTGAGGAGATACAAGCAAGAATACATTTAACAAAAGAAACATGAAGCCCTAGCTTAATCAAAATTAATCTTACACATTCTCATTCCACTCTATCAAAAGCTTTTTTTATATCAAGTTTAGTAGTCATATGACATTTTTTGTCACTCCTATGCCTGTTTAAGAAATGAATAGCTTCCTGTGCTAGGACAATGTTATCACAAATTTGCCTATTCTGAACAAAGGCAGTCTGATTCTCATTTACGCAAAGACGAAACAAAGGTTTCAATCTTTTAGCTAGAATTTTGGAGATGATTTTATAAGACACATTGCAAAGACTGAGGATTATAATGAATACGAGATTCTATTTATTGATTTCTTCTTCGCTGTGAAGGGTTTTTCAAGTTTTATGAAATAAAAATATTCTTGAGAGTTTTATGTCTTATCGTACACTTTCGCTACGTCACCTTTTCATTTAAATAATTTTAGCCTAAATATAAATCTTGACTCCGCTCTGCTTAAATCCTATAATGGAAGAAGATAACGTTTATAACTATACTGAGTTAGTATCATTTCTTCAATTGAAAACGACAATATTAGCTCATAAATGATTCGGAAGCAAATTTGCATCGAATCACTGATTCATCTGATCCAAACTTACAAATATCAACAATACACTNAAAATCTATTCCAATAAGATACTCGATAAGAGGACATCTTTTCCGAAAGCACTTTAAGATAGACAAAGTTTCAGCTCTTTCAAATACACGCCATGGTAACAACTAATTTTGGCCATTAAACTTAAACCCAACATTTTATTTTTCGGAATACGGAAAAGAGCATTTAAAGAGAAGGAAACTATATTTCTAGATGGAGTTTCTATGCATAAAATGAGCAATATCTTGTATAACTTTGGTGGACACTTGAGAGAAAGGCTGATTGCCGAAAAACCCGTGTTCTTCCCCTTCATACTCAACGTACTCAATGTCTTTGCCCATGGCTTTCAATCTTTTGTAATAGTCTTCGATTCTGTCTTTCATCACCTCACATCCGCCCACTAGTACAAGTATTGGGTCAAGTTTCGTGGATTCGAGATTTGGGCTTAACGGCCCAAATGGATTGGCCCATGGGTCGTCTGCTGTGCTCCCGATAGGCAACGATAACCTCCAAAATCTGAAGTTTTGGATTGAGGCCCAATTTCAAAACAAAAGCATAGGTTAGACAGACACCACAATGGTTGAGCTAGGATGAGTATTCTATCCATATTTTTGTCGTGTGATTGGCTTAAAAAGGGATAAGAATTATCCAAATGTGATGACCTTTTAACTTCACATAAATATCAGTAGCTTTCGTGGGATATGCTTATCTCTGAACAGGACAAGCCAATATTTTGTAACGCGATAAAAGACAAATAATTATATATCTTGGATAAAGTAATAAATAGGTAGGCAGTTTTCTCAGCTAAAAAATAAATAAATTAAAAATGGTAAAGTTTTGACTGTTTCAAATTGTTCAAGAAAGAAAAAAATAATTTGTGTCCTGCTTGAAACAAAATTGATAAATTGAACATTCCGGGACAGTGTGAACGAATAATGTTAACTGTTAAACGTGATTCTGAAAAGCAAATTGCATTAATAATATGGGTATGCGTAATTAAGGATTAATAAATTTTTAACGTTATTTCACATGGACTTTTGTGTGCCCTAACCCATCGTGCAGCCTTTTTCCTCCTTTTATCATGTGTTCACGGGTCAATTGGATTGCAATACACTAAAAGATTTTTTGAATTCATATACATTTTAAATTGAAAAAATATATGAATAAAAATATAGCATTCGCAACATATATATGCGTTTCTATAAAATATAACAAGTCGATTCACTGACAGTTAAACCACATATATATGATCGCGTTTTTATAAAATATAACAAGTCGATTCACTCACAGTTGCACAATTAAATACTCAACATTGTGGCATTTAAATAGCCCTTTTCATGGTCCCATTCAAGAAAACACGTAGAGCACATGACAATGGTTGCATCTTAGAGACAACTTTTCAAGGAAGACTATATATTCCACATAAAATCTTTAATTTAATCCAGATATCCGATCAATAAAAAAAATAATAAAAAAAAAAAAAAAAAAAGAGTGATAAGATTGGAAAAAAGCCAATCTTAGGAATATTGTGGCATTTAGTGGACTCCTAGATTAAATTAATATTCCTATGTGAAGACTAAGCCCATGTTCTAAAAGGTGAAAATGATGATTCTATAACAGCCACATGGAGGCATTTTGTCTTATATTAATACACACATATGCTTCATACCTTTTTTTGATGGGATCACTTTTGTCCTTAATCTCTTTTGTCTTTTAACCTCAATACCTTTTAGATGTCTCTATCATTATAAAGTCATTCTCAAAGAGATTCAAAAAATCCTCATACCATCAGCATTTATTATTATTATTTTATTTTTTTTTGTTAATCACAACTTGTATTCCTTATTATTCTTTATTAGTGGGTTAAAAAGCAAATATTGAAGGGCACGTTTATATATTTATAATAATTTTGGCGTAAAGCAAGCTGTGGTGTAGTTGAAAACATACTTTTCATGACATGTTTAAATTAATGTGATAGATATAGATTCGCACACCTTTTAATACTTGAGATACAGCTAAAAGAATGGAGCAGAATTGTGCACATTAAAAAAATTAAGGAACGATGTTAGATTAATATATGATGAATAATATAATATTGAATTAAACATCAAAATTTTTTATTTTACAAAATCACAACATATTTAAAATCTATAATTTATTTATTTTTATATCATATTATGTGAACCTTTATAACAAAATGTTAGGTACAGTTAGTATGTTAAAAAATAAAAAGAAAAATATAAGGAAATTAAAAGACTGAAAAGATGAATTGACTAAACTATTGTTACCAAAGTTTGCCGTTCGCTTTCATTACTTTTTATTATTATAGAAGAGGTGGAATATTGTGGGCATTCCCCGCGGATTGTCTTATTTTATGTTTATTCATATTAATATTTTGCCATAGCCCATATCAATAGTGCCCATATATATATATATAATATCAATCATTAAAGGCACGGTAATACTTTGAATGCTATTCCAAGACGATGTCATAATTGAAAGTTCTTTATATTTTCCTAGTGTTGTACTCGAATATCCAAATTTTCCAAATTCACAAGAAAAATATTTTTCTGACAATTGTTCGGATTGTTAGAATTTTATAGGGTCATGTGACACTTCGATTTTTCGGAACATGCATTAAATTTCATAAAAAATTGTTGTTAGGTAGATCATTAGGGTATGTACTTATATTTTTTTCAAAAAATATGTACACTTTTAAAGTGAAACTAGTATTCAACTTGTGCATTTGTACAGATATAAATAAAGTATTGTGAGTTATTTGTATGCATATAACGATTAATTATTTTTCTTTCACTTTTTTGCAGGCCAAATTTATAATTAAAGAAGCTGGAATATTTATTTTTTTAAATTGCATTTATCATATTGGATGTAATGTATATTTTGGTATGTATTTTTTTTTTGTGAATTATTTATGATTTATTTAGGAATTTCAAATACGTTTTTTATTTTCCAAAAGAAGGTAAAATTTAAATGTAACCACAACAATAACATCTAATCACGTTAAATAGTCGACACATCATATGGCCAGCTGTAAGTAAATCAAAAGTCTAAAATGATTTTTGTAATTTTGAAGTGATTAGTGTGTTGATTATTTAATAATTAAATGAGATGTTAAATTAATAAAAAGTAACAGTTTTTGGAGGAAAAAAGTTATATTGCCACATAGGTATAATTTAATAGGTTTTATTAAATGATCATGAGCCAGTAATTATATATATATAGATGTCATACTAAAAACAAAAACATAAACTAAAGTAGGAAATTTTATAGCATTAACATTCATTTTCGTTAGAAAAACTAAAACATGTTAATTCACACGCTTAACAATTACCCACCCTATACAAAAAATTATGTTAGAAAGTATATATTCATTAAATTCCAGAACTTCCTTAAAATGTGATCTCAAACAAGATTCTAAAGCATCGAAACGAATTGGTTCCAAAGTGATGGTATGATACAACAGAAGAATCTAATTTGACATGGTCCTAAAATTACACATGAATGATGTTCTATGCGATTTATAATAGTTATAGACTTATAGTATTATGTCATAAAATATGTGGAGTTCATTAATACATATATTAATATAATCATACAACGAAAATATTTGCTATATCGATCATCTACGAAGCACTCACTTACTAAAATAAATTAAATCGATCAAAAGAATCTAAAAATTTCCCAAAAAGAAAAAAAATTGACCCTCAGCCCCATGCAAATTCAAGTTCCACGTGGAAAAACATTTAATAATATCAATTAAAAAAAAAGAAATATATATATATATATATATCCAGGTTAAATAATTTACCTGTCCAGCATATCGAGATTGAGGAACTTTTCCGGTGGGCCGTCGGCCTCAGACTTAGTTCTTTCCGTCCCGCCAAAAAACGGCGCCATCAGCACGTAACCCCTCACCCTCACCGGCTCCATCCCCGGCGACCCTCGCCGGAGCTCCACCGCCAGGTGGTGGGCCAGGTTCCCGCCGGAAGAATCCCCCGCCACAAAAACCCTCCCAAAGTCCACTCCCTGCAGCCACTCGTCCTCCCCCGCCATCGCCTGCTCCCTCAGCCACCTCACCGCCCTCCGGGAGTCTTCCACAGCCGCCGGCAGCCTGTGCTCCGGCGCCAGGCGGTAGTCCGGCGCCACCAACAGGACCCCGAGCGCCGCCGCCAGCCGGAGGCAGCAGTTGTGGGCGTTGGGCCACGTTCGGTCACCAAGACAGAATCCCCCACCACGGAAGAAGAAGAGGACGGGAAGACAGGTGGCGCCAGCTGGCGCGGAGCTCGGCTTGTAGAGGCGGAGCTGGAGTTCGTGCTCCTCGTCGTAAAAGCAGTCCTTCCAGACGGCAGTCCCGTCGTCTTGAACTTCCATAGGGAACTTGAGGTTTTCGTATGACCGGAAAATCGAGCCGTCGCTGAACACCTGGATTAGACCCAGGCAGTCCTCCACCACGTGTGCAAGAGAACCCATTGCTTTCTTTTTCTTTTTCTTTTTCTTTTTCTCTCTCTCTCAAAATGCTCTTCTTATTTTTTCTCTCTCTCTCTCTCTTTCTCCTTTGCTGGGGGCTTATGGGAAAGGAAACAAAATGTTGCCATATATATAGCCACAGGCTGTGTGGAAACGAAAAATTTAATTTTGGTCCATTTAATTGTCTAAAGTTTTTTTTTGAAACACTAACTTTCCTCTAATCAATAATAGTACATTAAATTCTTATTTATAGTATCATTATTGGGACATTAATCCAAATAAAATACATGCGTTGTTTTTTTTGGAAATAATGTCCTAAAAATCATACAAATAGCAACATACTATTTTTGATCAGCCGGAAAGTTAATGTACTGAAAAAATACTTTAGACAAGTAAACGGACCAAAATAAAAATTTTGCCGGAAAATTAATATGGAGTGGATAAAGATGAGGGCATTAAGGGAATTTCAGGTAGTTAACTTCATGAAATTGGTATAATTGACATCCTCATGTCACGGACGGACTCTGTCTAGACTGATTAAGTGATTAGAATTAACTAGCTAGATTACTTTTAAATGTCGTTTTTGTTGAATTTGGAAGGCGATGGGTTGTTTGTGCGTTGTCATCTCCGATGGGAAACCTTAGTATTTGATTCATCTTAAACTTTGACATTAGATGCCAACTTCTACTTTGATGTGAGGTTTTAATTTATTGATATTTTTTATGAATTACAGTCCCATAAGTTGAAAATTTAGCTTTACCAACAATCGGAGTAAAGTTATATAGACCTAATCAAATGAACTCCATAAAACCCCGACAATGCTTGTCTAGATAGGGCATTCAGTTTATAAAATATATAAATATGTTTTTACCACTGTTCCACTCATGAAAAATTGACTCAGCGACTATTCCATAAAAGTTTGTCATTATTACTCCGTGCCTAAAAAATTATCTAGTTGAAATCTGCCAGACATTATCATTTTTAATATATATAGAATAGATGTCATGCATGATTAAATAGTATATAATAAAAAAGGACCAATCTCACAATAAAAAGTTCATTAACTATGGGTTTATACAGCAAACCCCCGTGAACTATACTATATCATACATCTATTGAGAAAAATCATTTTTGGTTCCTATGAATAATTTTCAACACCTTATCTCTAAGTTATGACTCTATTTATTCTTGTATTTTACTTGATGAAAATGCTATGGAGCCAACCGTTGGCTCCATAGCAGGACTGTTTTACTTTATCTAACTTAATTAGTGGAGAATTTTCTGTTTACACAACTCATAAATACATTAGATCGTTGTCCTGACAGACTTTGTGTGGCGGACAGTAACTAAATCCAACCATATATTACTTGGCAAGAGATTACAATAGATTGAATTGTTATTATTATTATTATTTTATATTTATATTAATATGTACAAGAGAATAAGAGCTACTTGAATGGAATTTGATATAGGACATAAAGATAGCTCGGTTGAACCGGTCGTCAAAAACTTGTACTGTAGACTGAAAAGTAGCTAGATATCGGTTGGTTTATAAGCAGTAGGTGTTCAAATAGCTCGGATACCTAAAGAATATCTATAGTCGACATATAAGGAATTCAGATAACACGCTAATGTCTGTAGCTCGACATATAAGGAGCACTAATAACACGTCAATGTCTGTAGCTCGACATATCAGGAGCTCGGACAAAACGGCGAGTACAGATATATTTATAGCTCGGACATTGAGGAGCTCGACATTCTATACCTCGAACATACAAAGCTCAGTAACTTACTCCAGTAGGAAGCGGATTGACTTGCGTAGTAGGTCGAGTCCAAGTTGTCAACAAGAGACATGTAGGGTCATGAATAAGGGGGATAAACAATCGGACGAATGTGAATAAAACCAAATAATTAATGGACAGAGCTAAGGATAGACTAGTAACCGGCGAGTAGCACTTTCGAGCTGAAAGGGCAGTTGGGCAGGCCTTCGAGCAGTCAGGCAGGGTAGAAGCTTGTTCAGGAAGCTATTAATCTTTTATAAATAGGTACAATTGAGAAAATGTAAGGGTAATCGCACTTTATACACTTAAGCTTTCAGTATATTTCCACACAACATCGATATCACCTTATTGACTTGTTCAATAGAGGTTTAACGTCGAGAACACTTCCCGGTATCTTTGCAGGTCTCCAGGGAGAAAAGTGGTCGAGGGATCTTAGAGAGCTAGTTTGAGGTGTAACTGCACATCAATTGTCGTCGTTCTGTAATGTTACTCTGTTTCTCTACTTGTAGCTAAGATGGAGAAGACGAATATGGTGGATGGGAGGTCGAGGAGGAACTTGGATGAGAGCTTGGAGGAAGTTTGGGCAGCTAAACGCCTTTTGGTATGGAACCACCTCCGGGATGGGCTGCAGGCGAGGGTGCGATGGTTACCCCTCAGATGAGCTTGCCAGGGGTGAAACAGAACCTGATGCTTGAGCTAGATCGGCGTTTTGCAAGATATATAAGGGAAGGATAAGGAGGTTATTGTCCATAAAGGAGGTTAGAGAGTACCAGTAAGAGGCAGTGAGCAAGTGATACAACTCACTAGGGGGAGTTGGACCAGATCATCGCGTAAGCGAATGGTAGGTTGAGGGTGTCGCAACCTCAATCGGCGGTGGAGAAGCTGGCCTTGGTGGGTGAGCAGCTAGAAGCAATGGTGGACCAACCGATGGGAAGGGTTCAATAAATGTTTCTAGTGGTGGTGCAACACATTCCGGTGATCTCTAAGCCGACGGTGTGCCGGAGTAGAAGGCGAGAGGAAGGTGAAGAGAGGTTAATTGTGTCAAAGATGGCAAATAAGGCCATCGAGAGACGTCGCATTGGAGCGTATGGCCAAACATATTAGGGATCTTCAGGCCAAGGTGGAGGGGCTTTGACAACCGTGGGTACCGGGTCATCCCTTTTCTGATGACGTTTTGGATGCTAACTTACCTCAAAATTTTGTGGAGCCGAGCATGGTCTATGATGGGTCCTCAGATCTAGCTAGGCATCTGAAGAGTTTCGAGAATGTGTCAATTTTTTACCGATACAGTGACACATTTTGTTAGAAACTTTTGACGACCTTGAAGGGCTCCGCCCAAGATTGGTTCCACCAGCTGTCAGCGGGATATATCTACAGCTTTAATGTGTTCAGCTCTTTGTTCATCAACCAATTTTCCAGTGCTCAGAAGCACAATATAACCTACCTCACACTGATTAACATGCTGCAGTGCGAGAATGAATCCTTGAGGGAATACGTAGTTCGGTACGCACGAGCTTGTGTGGAGGTCCCATCGACATTGGGGGAGATCAAAACAGGAGGTTCCACACGAGGTCTTCGACCTACCGAAATTCTTTGGCTAAGAAGCCAGCTAAGTCATATGACGAGCTTCTGGACTGTTGTTCCCAGTACATGAATATGGAGGAGACAGAGGCAGACTTTCTCTTAAATGATCGAGCCAAGAGAAAGAAGCACGAGAAGAGGCACTGACCGGACGACAGGAGGTCGGGAGTTCAGGATGCTCAGGGTGATGATAAAAGGAGTATGTGATTTAAATATGAGCACTATACACCATTGGCGTTCCCTAGAGGCCAAGTCTATGAGACTATAGAAAAGCGGGGAGATACTAGCATGTTAGGAAAGCCTCAACCTCTGCCCAAGAGGAAGGGGAAAGTTTCAATACGAGGAGATCCTTTTTGTAGGTACCATCGCTATTACGGTCATTGAACAAACAACTGTAATGAGCTTAAGGATGAGATAGAGATACTCATACGGGAAGGGCCTCTAAAGGATTTCGTGATCCATGATATGGAGAAAAAGAAAGAAAATAAGGTAGAAAATAAAAGGAGAAGGCCGGAGGAGCCAGAAGTTAGGCCTTTCAAAAAGGAGGTAATTCATATGATCGGGGGAGGGGGGGGAGGGGGCAACTGACGATGACTCTAATAATGCTAGGCAAGTTAATCTGAGAGGTGATTGGGAGAGCGTGGCAGAGGTCTAGATCGCACACGATATGCCAAAATTGAAGTTTGGAGTTGAGGACTCGCAGGGTATTTTGGTCCCTCACAGTGACGTTTTGGTTGTGACAGCAGAAATTGTGGGCTATGCTGTTGAGAGGATCTTTATTAACACAGGAAGCTTGGCGGACATCACATTCTTCGAGTGTTTTTGACAGATGGGCCTAAACATGGAGATAAAGCTTGTGTGAACTTGTTTGTTCAGATTCAGTGGAGCTGGGGTACTACCCTTGGGGGAGGTGTATTGCCAGTAGCTTTCGGAGCTCCCCCTCTGAGGACGATTAAGATGATGCGATTTTTAATACTGAAGGCGGGATCAGCTTATAGTGTCATTCTGGGTCGCTAGAGTTTGATCTCTTTCCAAGCGGCAATGTTGACGTATTGCATAAAAATGGATTTTCCAGTGGGGGACCTCGTCGGAGAGGTCACTACAGACCAGCGATCAACTAAGACATGATACTAGAAAATGTTGAAGGTCTGCCAGAAGCGAAAGAGTGAAGGGGAGAGCTCGAGTGGGGGGAAAAGAGGCTCGGACAGAGATGATTTCCCAGGACGAGCTCATGGAGATCAAGCTAGTTGAAGGGGAGCCTAAGAAGATCTCAAAAGTTGGGAAGGAATTGACGAAGGATATTAGAGCTTATCTGGTTACACTATTGAGGTAGTATGTTGTTAATTTTTTTCTAGAAGAGATCATGGGCATCGATCCTAGGGTGGCCGAGCTTGATGCTATAATTGAGAAAGAAGTCGAGAAGATATTGCAAGAAGGGCACCTCAAACCTATCCAATTTTCGAAGTGGCTGTCCAACCAGGTCATAGTGAAAAAAGCAGAGGAAAAATGGTGTATGTGTACTGATTTCAGGGTTCTCAACAAAGCATGTTTGTAGGACCACTATCATTTACCACATATCAACCAACTAGTAGATTCGACTACAGGATGAAAGCTATTGATTGTGATGGATTTCTCTCAAGGATAACGCCAAATACCTCTAGCTGCAGAGGATTAGAAGCGGGTGAGCTTTGTTACTTCAAAATGGACCTATTGTTACATAGTCAAGCTAGTTGGACTCAGACATGCTGGGGCGACCTATCAATGGTTGGTCGACAAGATGTTTGAAGGGAAACTTGGGCGAAATATGGAGGTCTACGTGGATGATATGTTGGTTAAAAGTAGGGAGGTGGAGGATCATGTTTGAGACTTGAGGGAGACATGTGATACTCTGAGTAGATATACGATGAAGCTAAATCCGACGAAGTGTAAGTTTGGGGTAAAGTCAAAGAAGTTAATCAGCTCTATGGTAACAGAGCAAGGCATAGAGGTCAATCCAGAGAAAGTCAGAGCAGTGTTAGAAATGCAACCACCAAGGAGCATTAAAGAGCTGGAAGTCATAACTGGTCGTTTGGCAAGACTGAGCCATTTTATTGCTCATGCAAATGAGAGGAACTTTTCATTTTTTCGAGCTCTTAGGAAAGGATGTAGGTTTCAGTGGTCCATGCAAGTTCAAGAGACCTTTGTTAGGTTGAAGGAATTCTTAATTGAGCTTCCATGGCTTTCCAAGCCGGATCTAATAGATGTGGTAATCCTATACTTTGTCTATGGGTAAGGTAGCAATTAGCTTGGTCTGGTTGAAAAAAGAAGAGGGTCAGCAACAACCTATTTATTATGTTTGCAGATTGTTGCAAGGGGAAAAGACTAAGGTTAAGTATGTGGAGTGGAAAAAGCA